ACCTTGTTAACATGCTCCAATTATCCAACCCTTTAAGAGCATGTAAACCATATTGTGGCTTCTTATGTGTCCTTAGAGGGACAATAGTTATGAAATGAGTTCCAAACTTCATTTCTGATGTTAGATATTGCATATTCGGATGACTACTGGTTCCCACACCACAGATAACTATACCTGGATGCATTTTTAGGATGTTTAATTCTCCATTCAATCTGTTTATCATTTTTTGACTGTAAGCAACAAGAATAAACTCCATCATACATGGAAATATATTTGGAAGTTGGATGTGCCTCAATGCGTGTGATAGTTTTATGGTTTATGGCATCTCAAAGACTATTGATTAATTTGAAGAGAAAGAGATGTCACATTGTTATAGAGGCTTATTGTTATCATTGTATGGACATGGATAAAACTATTATGCATGTCCTTAAGGACTGTCAGTTTGCAAAATAGGTATAGCCCTTTTTGATTGACAATAAGTATTCTAGTAATTTTTTTATCTTCCATTTGATAAGTAGATCAATTGAGACCTGAACATCAACATGAGCACTCATCATAATGCAACTTGGGAGGCTATCTTCCTCACTACTTCTTGGATTATCAAGAAAAGGCAAAACGACTTCATTCATGGTAACATGGATGGTAATACAACTCTATCTTTGGTGGAGATTTTAAGCAGGTTTTAGAGCTCCAAGATACCATAGAACTCCTCATCCACTTTGTGGACCAAAAATAAAAAATTCCCTTGGGTTGTCTAGAAAGTCTATTCAGATGGATGGATCAAATTAAACACTAATTGACTAGAAAAAGGATCTGGATTAACACTAATCGAGGTGGCTTGATCCATGACTAGTAAGGCAACTAGATATGGACTTCATGGCTAATTTTGCTAGTAATCAACCTAACATCATTGAGATCTGGGTGCACTTAAAATGTTCAGCTTGCTACTACTCACTACTTCACTAAGGTTATTATTGAGGTGGACCCTTTTCACCTTAAAAATCTTCTTGTACGCCTTGCTTATGGGTCTTAACCAAATTAACGCTGTTGAAAGAACTATTTAGTGCCTTCTCCATGTGAATTGGGAATTTCAAATTTCCTATATCCACAAACATAACAATTCTTACGCTAACACCCTTGTAAAGAAGACCCACGATATTGCCATTAGTGCTTTTATGGTGATATGTCCCTTTGTCAAGTTGGAATCTCACCTTCACCTAAATGCTTGTGACAACACTTTGATTCATGTAGAAGGACAACACTTGGATTCATGTAAAAGGTTACCAGTTCCTCTTTTCCTGGCCCATTTTTATTGTATCCTGAAAAAAATAGCATAAGTTTTTATTACATATATCGAAAGCTTCATATAAAATATGCTAAATAGAAATCATTTAAGGTCATGGCAAGAAAACACATGTTTAATTGTGGACACTGAATTTGTTGCTAATTAGCTATGGTTTCTGAAGGGGTGTTATTATTTAGCAATAGATTTAACAAATTGTGTTAACAGTTATTTTTAAATTTAACTCAGTAGTAATTTGTTGGTAATTTTGTCGATTATTATAACTACAAATAAAACTATTGATAATTGTAATTATAGACGAAACTATCATAAAATGAAACAACTGATAAATTTGTTGCTAAATCAATCATTAAAATAGAAAAAATTATCGATTTAATTATGCATTAATATATTGAAGGAAATAAAATAGAATTGTTTATCCTGCTTCAATAATTAATTATTTTTTAAAAAATTATAATAAAAATTAAAAAATAATTAATTTCTTTGAAGGGAGAGATGTTATCATATCAATTTATCATACTCGTTCAAATTCTATTGCTTTATTCCTCAAAAAAATTTATTTTCTTAAAGTCAACTGTGTAGAACAAGTTTAAAAATTATAGCCAATTTATTTGCAAATTCATACTTTTTTTAACTAAAAGAATTATATTAACATGACAAACAAAAAACTCTAATAACTTTTTAATTAAAATAAGTTACATAATTTTTTTTTTTAAAAAAATTAGATTTATTAAGCAAATTGCTAAAAGAGTAAAAGATTAATAGTTTACTTTTTCCCTCCACCCAAACAGAAAGCCACCATTTACAGCAAACGAGTTTACCCGCAAGAAACTGGACCAGTGGTTGGCCTTAGAAGACGTAGAGTAGAAAATTTGAAGGAAGATTCCAATGATCCATAGGAGCCCTCAAAATCATAAGTGGCCTTCTTCCCACCTGTCCAGCTAAAGACTATACGAGAAATGGAGGCCCAATCAGCCCACACTAACAATTGAATAAACAATAACGAGGATATCATGTGAGACGCTACAGCTACTGCTGCTAATAATTATCTGCTTCGAGATGAGCACAACCCACCTCCGAATCACATTTTCTTACATCATCAACTTTCAATCTCCTGTAAGTCCCGCTTCTGTTATCATCAAGTTGCTATCTTTCAGTTTGCAGCTTTATGCTGTGTGTATATATACACACACACACACATATGTATATATATATATAGTCTTTATGGTATTATTGGAATTGTGTTTTAACCGAGAGATTTTGATCTGAGTAATTCAGTGAAAGGAGGCAAGCATGGCGTCTCAGCCCACGGCGCCTCCTAATCCAAGTGACGATAAACCCCAAAACTCAGGTCTGTTTTCTCTCTACTTTTCGTTTAATTATTTGGTAAATGTTTATATTTTTTCTGGGCTATCAAGTTAAGGTAATGTTTTTGTTTGGTTAGAAAGTAGGTTACAAT